TATTTTTTCACCATGAAAAATCTCACTTTTATTTAATCGATAAATTACAGATTTTTTTTACTATTGAATTACAATTAAGTGTACTACATGTATTTGTTCTTTCCGTCTCCAATTTGATACATAGGTACAGGTGACATTTCATTTGGTGCCAATCAAGAAAGACAGAGTTCATGGTCAAATTAACCATTAGTCTGTAACAGTGTTGTGAACACTACATGTACGATATGAATTGATCATTTCTTTTCAAACTTGCTTGAGAGGTGGTAAATTAACCTTTTAATATGAGGGTCAAAAGTCAAAGATACGCCGAGTTCTTCGTTGGTATGTATCGTGAGTTATTTTAAACACATTTCAGTCTGAAAACAGTGGTAGGTGGCCAGAGAAATACGTCTGTTTATTTAAGGTTAGAAAGTTCTAAAGTCAATTCAATCAAAATAAGATCTTATTGGGCTAACGAAATGTAGCGTACCACTGGACTTTTCAGTCTCAAACTTACAATAGAATGGTTAATGGTAGGGGAACCAGACCACATTGAGGACTGTTTCTTGTAAGGACTTTATGAAATCTGATTAAACCATTTTGTTTTCCTCTAAAAATCGTCCATAAACTCTGTAAAAATGACAATCACACAAATACTTAAACAAGGAGTCAAGATTTAAAAGAGAAGATTCTATTCACATTGAATAAATTTATTTCACTCATTATTTATTGCCATTGTGTGCTTTTTCTTGACAAAGATTTTTTTAAATTGCCAATTCTCCAAAAGCGTCTCTTATTCAATGTCATTTTCATACCATCCCATCATTTTCGGACATTAAAATTGTAAGAACCTACAACAAAAGTGTTGAAATACTTATAAAAAATTCTTTTGTTACATTTCATGGAAGTTCTACAATTTACAGAATGTTTTATCCATTTTTCTATTTATAGACCACATTGCAGGGCACCGATGAACGCTTCCTGTCTCCTACATGTTCCAATTTGCTGTGAAGGAAACCATATTATATTCTTATGCGAAATAATACTTTCTTTTCATTTTTTGTAATTGGACATGTCTCAATCTTCCATGCTCTACATTAATATTTATGAAGATTTTGTAGTAAGATATTCAATGTATTTTGACATGATATACATTATATATGCCCTAACAAAAAATTATATAGTAAACTAGTTTACTGTAGTTAACTATAGTATCAAAGTAAAAACTTTGGAACTTTGATTGACTATAGTAAAATCTTTGGAACTTTGATTGACTAAAGTGAAAAGCTTTTGAACTTTGATTTACTATAGTGAAAACTTTGCTCTCTACCATCGGCTCATACATTCACTTCTGTCGTTGGCTCGCGTATATCACAGTGATAAGCACGAGAAATAGTGCGTTTGTTTTAATTCATTATAATTGAATGTCTGAGCTTATGATAGTCCATAAAGATAGATATTTACTAAATAGACGTAAAACTATTAGTTTAATTTGAAATAATCCTTGAAATGTTATGTTTTTTACGTTATGTCAAAAATCTTGACGCGAGCCCATTGCAGAGGTGTCTGAGAGAGGAACGAACGACAACTCTGCAAAGGAGATTGTGAAAACTTTGGTACTTTGATTTACTATGGTGAACACTTTGGAACATTGATTTACTATAGTAAAAACTTTTGAAACTTTGATTTACTATAGTAAAATTTTTGATACTTTGATTTACTATAGTAAAACTTTGAAACCTTGATTAACTTAAGCAGAAACTTTGAAAATTTGATCTACCGTAGAGAAAACTTTTGATAACTATACACCCGTGGTGTTATGTTTTAGATTCCCATTCTTGACATTTTTGGAAGTTTCATGGTCAAAATTCATAAAAACCTCAGAGAACCCTTTATAAACCCGAACCATACCTAAAAAAAAATTAAAGTACAAGAAATGAATTTTAATGTGAGGTTGTCTCTCGCTCCGATAGATAAGCAACATTTATTTTAATGTATTTAAATTAAATGAAGATGTAGTGTAAGTATGGAAAATAATACACCCAAATAAAATTTGAGTCATTTAGAACCAAAATACATGCTCAATCTACTTCAGTAAACATGTAATTTTTATTTTCAATTTATGAATGTAAATATTGCATTTGAATTAACTAGATTGCAAATTTGAATTAAGATGTACAACAACTCATCCCCCCTAAAATAAAACGGAAAAATAAGCAAAAATTATTGAAATACTTAAACAAGTTGATAAACTATAGTGAAAACTTTGAAAATTCGATATTACTATAGTGAAAATTTTGAAACTTTGATTTACTATAGTAAAATTTTATACTTTGATTTATCATTGTGAAAACTTTCAAACTTTGAATTACTATAGTGAAAACTTTGAAACTTTGATTTACTATTGTGAAAACTTTGATAACTATAGTAAAAATTGAGAAACTTTGATTAAGTAGTTAGCTATTGTAAACTCTAGTTATCTATAGTTTACTATAGTATTTTTGTTAGGGTGTATACTAATATTTATTCTTGAAGATCTACATTTGTGCTCTCTATTATATAAATATGCAAAGAGCAAAAAACTTCATACTAGTGTTCCAAAGATCATAGGTCATTGCGTGACATAATCACACGGTGCAATAACATCTATATACACACAAACTGAATTGCCTTCTTAGCATGCTTTTGATGTACAAAAATGCACAAAATACACTGGTGAAATAACGACTGTTTTATTTAAAAAGTATACAAGTATTACATCCAGTCAATTTACATAGAGTATAAACAACTACATATTATGAGGTTTTATGTCAGTTGCATAGTCTCAACTTTTTTCCTTATTTTTCCTGTAGACTTCCTCCTAAACTCTGAATGTTACTCAAAATATTTTTCTTCATTTACTTTACTTACGATAAATTTGCAAATCTTCTGGAAAATATCAATGCATACACATGATACATGATACAAACATTTCGATAAAAACGTCCTAGTCCATCATTGAGAGCGTTGTCTTAAACAATGTAAGCTGTCGCTAGTGTCTCCGTGTGTACATCATAATGAATATGCCGATGTAATGTTTTTGGTCGAATTTTATAAAGCTATGTTTGTTTTCCAATCAAGTGGTACGGCCAATTATCTCCATACATTTCCGACAAAATTCAAAATCTACGACGGACAATTAGTTCAATAATTATATACGATTGTCCATCTCAAATGTATTAATTTAAGATACACATAAGAAATAGATAACCAATGTAAAAACTTCACTGGTAAATGATGTGGGTCAGTTAGTGATCAAATCTACTGAAAAGGCCTTCGGCCTTCACAGAATTTGATCACGTGATCGACCCACGCCATTTCCCAGTGACGATTTTAGACTTGTTATTTATTTCTTGCAACATCCATATGTAGATTAAAGACATCAATAATAATCATCTTGTACATCATAAGTCAGCATCGTATACATGTATATGTATAATTATGAAAAAAAAATCAATTAAATCAAAGAAAAATAAATGATGACAAAACATAGCAAGTCATCTCAAGAAGATCGATTTGGTATAAAGAAAATATGCTGTCGGTGGGACGTCAAGCAACATTATACATTTATTTACTGGGTTCGAAGAAAAAATGAGTTTTGTCGGACAAAACAAACAAACTGTTTGCCTGAGTCAATAAATATTTTGTTATACCTCTTATTATTTTTTTTTTTTACATACAATTATTTTGTGCTGGCTTCCATGATTAAATTTCCTTTACCCGCACTGCGGTCATTTCTGTCACTTTCGAAACCCAACGAATGCAAATAAGATTCAGCTGATCCCGCTCACAGTGTGACGTAAGCGGTCCAATATCTCACCGACAGGTCCAATATCTCACTCTGCGGTCAAACCGATTTTTTTTATTACCGCTCAGTAAAGCATTGGAAATGTTAGACTTTTTGGTAACATAGATTTCTATAGGAACAATTTTTTAAGATATACCAGAAATAAATGCATTAACTAGGCAGGAAAGTGACTGTTGTCTTCACCTTTTTCATTTATATAAAGACTGTTATTTAGAATGTTAAATGTCAATAAGAAATACTGATTCTAGTAAGATATCTGAGTAATTATATCGATATTTTGTAATGATTAAGGTCAAGAACTAGTAAATGAAAGGTACCTACAGATTTTTCAAATTTGTGAAACGAGTTCTTTTCATTATCCTTTACATATATAGCTTGGTAAAATAAAGTGTATCGGGACATAATTTTTAGGTAAACTCAACGAAAAAAAACAAACAAACCATATTTAAAACCGGCATTTTCAATGCAAAATAAAGAAAGTTTGGTATAAATTTCAGATTTTTTTTTCCATCTTAGAAAAAGGAATTGTGTGAATATTGTCCACAGTCTCCCAGAAAACGTATTTTCTCATCTTCTTGACCTCTACGTTAAAATGATATTAAATTGAATATAGGTATTGGGGTTTCTTTTGACATGATTTCAAATTGAATGCCATGAAAATGCTTCATTTTCTACATAATTCTATTTCAGCCTCAAAAATAGGGGAAAAAATTGAGTTTAAATCAATTATGAGGTCATAATGGAATTAGCACCAAGCAGACAGTCTAATCTCGTTTACTAGATCTTGATCTTAAACCTGAGTTAACATAAGACAACCCAGAGTATTCAATTTCTGCACGCACTTGAAAAAAGATCCCTGTAAATACAATGGATATAGTCAAGATCACTATCTATAAATTTAAAGTGACACAGATATGTTTTAGAATAGAAAATTTATTTTTCAAGGAGACATTTAAGTATTAATTTTCAGACAGTATTTAAAATTAAATATGAGAGAGAGAGAGAGAGCGTAAAATTACGACACAGTTTTTTAGTATAAATGGTTCGATGGTACTGCCATATAGTTATCTAAGAAGCCGTTCTAAATTATGCTAAAAACCCCATGTTACGTAATAGATCATGTATCATCCAAATGAATGATCGAGGTTAACATAACAGAAATTGGGACAATACTGAATAGTATAGTTAAAGCAGTGTATTTTATTGCTGCATGCAGTGTGTGCTACAGTATCGATCGTGCATACGTCGTTGATTCGGACATACATTAGAACATACCAATAGGAATTTTTTTTAGATCAAAGTAATTAAAAATTGTATTAATCTGACATACACCGAGAGTCACGAGTTTAAAAAATTTCCAGTATGGCCGCTCTGAAGAAAACGATCCAACTTAATAATGGGAAGGAAATGCCAATTATAGGACTTGGTACTTGGCAGGTTTGTTATATTCAGTACTTTTTTCTAGAATTTCATGAAGTTAGGTATTTCCTCTTTTATATCTACTATTAACAAGAAACTAACGTTCGCTTTAAAGATATCCGATCCTCAGCCAGGAAGGATAACTCTTAAATTTATTATTTTATTTAAAAAGTCTCAAACTGAAGCTTGAAATTGAGATCTTTTCGTGCAACAATTTTCATTTTCTGCATCTTAATATGATTCAAGGTTCTTTGAAGTCTTCGAAACGGTCTTGTAAAAAGTTGACATTTGTACCCCATAAATGAAAAAAATGAATTATTTTTTAGAGAAATCGAATTTCCTTTAGTCTAGCATTAGATACCAATGCTTGATATTAACATGATATGAAATTAGACATGATATGTGATGTCTAGCAATGATAGCACAAGCTTTGTACACTATGTATTATATGACAATTGAAGTAAAAAGAAAAACTAAAATACTGTACAAGCATAAAAAAGATACAATTTTCTCCAAGTGAAATCAGAGACATTTTTGTGAGCAATTTCAATAACTTAAAAGCTAATTTTCAGAACCTGAGGATCGGAGTACCTTAAATCAATGCATTTTTAGAATTTATTAATAGTAATAACAATAATATTAAGACCAAGGTTTGAAAAAAAATCTTTGTTTGCAGTTACCGATCCGCAATTTTTTGTTACAAGATTTTACATGAAAGGAACACTTCGTTATAAATGGAGCTTGGACCTATAGGGCCGGGATTGGTTTTAGTCTTTTAAAAAAGGCTTGTCGATTTCTGTTCGGTCAGTGACTTTAGGCTACATACAAGTACTAATTTGTTTCTCATAAATCATTATATTTCAGTATTTAGAGATTGGAGGAACCTTCTCTAGACATTAACTATGAAACATGATACTGTCAACGCATTTTGAGTTTGTTATCTCGAAATGTTATTTGATATTTTTCTTTACTTTTCGTTGTTACAGCACCTGCATCGTAATTCTTCACAATTCTATCGTGTCCTATCGTGCGTTTATCCTATCGTATGATACATGTATCCTATCGTATCATATTTTCCGTTTATCAGGTTTTGCGTTTTCTATCGTGTTTTTTTTTGGTTTATCAGGTTTTGCGTTTATCGGATGACAATGATTTTGAAACGAAAATAATTGAACAAATGACTCTAATAGCAGACGCAGTGAGCAGCCTTCAGAAAGGTACAAAAGAATTACGGTTGTCGTTTGATAGCAAATTAGATAAATTTAGTAAAGATTTTATGACAAGCATTGATGACAAATTTAAAGCAATGAAGTCAGATTTTGACCTTGAATTTGGGAGACCCCCGAGACAAATTGATTCGTTGTCACGGTCTGTTTATAAGCTTATTGAAAGAATACAAAAGATTGAGAATCTAGAACGCTCTGAATGCAGGGCAGAATCAGTTGTTAGTACAAACAAGAGAAACAATTCGAACACACTGAATGACCCAGAGCGTTCGATAATCGCCAATAACATTAATCCAAAAGAGACTATTTTTTGTTATTTCTAACGATGTGATAAGTTGCGGCTGCACGACTAAAGAGCAGGGGTATCGGCAAATCAGGCCTAATCAAAATTAGTTTCTGTTCAGTTGAGGAGAAAAAAGAAGTTCTACGAAGGAAACGGCATTTACAGAATATCGAAGCATGCAAATCGGTTTTTCTTAGATCCTCAAAATCACACATGGAAAGATTGATTGAGCTTAAACACCCAATTTTATGTTAACGCCCCCAAAATCTACCTAATTCAAGATCAATGGTATACCGCCTGTCAATCATAAAAAAAAACAATAGCTTCTGATTTGATTGACGGGCCAGCTACATGGGCTACCTGATAATCTGAGTTTGCATGTTTTGAAAACAATTACCTGGTCACGCGTCAAACGCTTTCATGTACCGCGTGTAAGGTCGCTTTGTATACACTCAGGTTAAAAAAAATCATGTCGCTGTTATATTGGTTGAAAATTTTAATTTTAAAAAATAATCGAGAGTAGATAATTAAACAGTGACTTCGTAATATTTTTTTCAATCTCCACTGCTTTTTTGTACTTGTTAGCGATATGACGTCCAAGATAACTGTAGAACTTTTCGAAGAATAATTTGCGGATATTCAAACCCTCTCTTCCTTCAATAACTGAGATCCGGATTTAAAAAAGTTTCTGTAGCAGCACAGACCGATAATTCTTCCAAGCCCCTTATTCAACCTGAGCCTTGATTTTAAGAATGTACGTAATGCCCTTGTCGACCTTGCACTTGGGTACACTGAGACTCAATTCGCCGCAATTGGAAACCCCCTCCTCCCCCCCCCTTCCCCATTTAACGCTATGAATAACGAAAGATTCTTTTTATATCCTTTACAGGGCATAAGAACACGGACCCTCGGAAATGGCGAACATTTGGACACCATTGTTCGCCAGAAAAGTAAATAATAATCCGATCGTGGTAAATGTCCACACAATAAGTTGAATCTTTTTATTTCAATATAAACACTTGATATTTTATAATAATTTCTTTTATTGGCGATTAAAATATTGATATGATTGCTTTATAGTTTTCACCCTTTTTACTTTAATTTTACGATTTTTAAAAAAGATATGTCTTTTTAATTTTTTTTCTTCAAAAGAAATCGACGAAAACGCTAAGTCTACAAATTTTATATTTCAGTACATAATTTATTTTTAAATATTTTCACTCAAAATTATGCATAAAACGCGTATATAATGTTGACCCTGATTACCAAAAGCCGGACTTCCTGTGTAATGCAGCGTGTATAGAGATTTTTGACATCTTGAGTATTGGGGCTCTCCAGGTAAATAACACCAGTACTACCAAGACCACTCCCTCCTCAGGCAACCGTACGGTAAAAAAATTGGGTCTTTAATGCAAAAACCATTTTATATCAGATTCCAAACGGCAAACAATTTTGCATTAGATCCAATGGAAGAAGCGTGTTAAAAACGCATAACCTACGATAAAACAACCCACCTGACTGCCCTGATCAAAATCGTAAGAACCACCTGTAGGAACTTTTCCGGCCTATTGATAGTTTAAAATTAGGTCATTTAAATATCTGCAGTTGGACTAGAGAAAATGGGGAACTCAGAAATCAAATTATTTGTGCACTAAATTGTGATATGATAGCCATTAGTGAAAGACATTTAAATGTAGAAAATGTTATTGATATTCCAGGTTATAGATGGTTTGGTTTTAATAGAAAAGATATACATGTAAATGAATCCCAAACATTCGGATGGCGTCGGATATTGATAAAAGAATGGTTATCAGATCAATTTGAGATAAAAGTGATTGATAGAAAATTTGATGGTATCCTTGGAAAAAATATGAAGAGCTATAAATCTGATTTTGAATTCGTTGTGTTTGCATGTTACTTACCATCCGAATAACAGAGGACGGGATGCTCCAGGTTTCTATAACATCTTTTAACACAGATTTATGTAAATTTTTAAAGTGATGCCATTTTCTTGATGGTTGACGTAAATTCTAGAATAGGCAATTTGAATGACAAACTTCAAGATTTTGGTCATATTCCTAAATGAAAACCTATATACGGTACTGTTTAACAACACAGACATGGATAAATCGACTTTCTTTATGAAGAAAACTTTATTGTATTGATGGTTGACTTGACATGTTTTTCAAGGAAGGGTAAATCTGTAGTGAACTATACATGTGTAACAATAGATGTATTCAGACAAATCAAGAACTTTAAGGTATTAAACGTACAGAACATTGCGGCAGAATTTTATCTATTGAATTTTATCGAGTATGAATCAAAACTTCCGGATCATTCTGTCATCATGTGTGAATTTAATGTCTCCGATTGTTGTTTAGTTTCTGGTACCCCAAAATTTGAACATTGTCAAAATCGTTTTCAACTGAATAGGATTCCAAATGATTTTATGACAAGTGAGTTGAGAATTGAGAAGGTCTGCTTTGATAGCAACAATAGATCTGATTAAAAACAGTCGAAAATCACAGGGATTTTTTATTGACGAGTTATATGATCATTTATGCGAAATAATTTGTAATGAAATGGAAACCATGATCCCTAAAGTCAAACCTAAAAGCAACAATAAACGATTTATCATGTAACAAAAGCAACATATCTCTGTCGACAAATTCAAAGCATTTTTGAAGATCAACTCGAGCAAATATATTTATCAAAGCTCAGAATCATGTGAACAGTTAATGACAAACTCACAAATTGGTTTAGTTGCAAAAATGGTGTTAAACAGGGAGATAATTTAAGCCCTACCTTATTTTCAATTTTCTTTAATGATATGATACAGGATATTAACAATCTAAATTTAGGTCTAGAACTAGTTTACCGTAAACTATTTTCATTGCTTTAATAGCCAAATCATTTAAGAAATATTTTTTAACGAGTTGTAAATTTTTTAATCAGGGATGTTTGCAATTTTGGTTAAAATTGGCCCAGCGGTTCTTGAAAAGAAGTTGAAAATGTGAAAAGTTTACAAACGGTCGGACCCCGGACAACGGGTTATCAGTAAAACTCACTTAATCTGAGCTTTCAGCTCTGGTGAGCTAAAATAAAAACAGGTTTCAAGTTATTTTTTATGATGATCTTCCTTTTTATAGCCATTTTACGTAGATGAACAATATCTGTCAAATTTGGAATTTCTTAATTGAAAGCCAAATATTGTGCTTTTAACAAGACCCAAATATTCAGAAAATTTGATGAAAGGTTTCTGTTTAATGTAAAAATAGTAACACTCTTTGTAATCTTACATCGTACACAATATTCAGACCGAACACCAAACAGTAAGCATATATTTCCTATTCTATTTCATTCAGAGTCCAAAAGATGAGGTAAAGGCAGCCTTGTTGGCTGCTTTGGATGCTGGCTACAGACACATTGACACGGCCTACAGTTACATGAATGAGGATGCAATTGGAGAGGCTCTGCAAGAAATTTTTAAAAGTGGAAAAGTGAAAAGAGAGGATTTGTTTATTGTTACTAAGGCAACTATAACATAGTCATATTCTATTACTGTAATCGTGAATATTAACGCATGTTTATTACGCGAATTAGTAGTAAAAAAAAATATACGCTAAGGGTAAATTTCCGCGAGTATGAAGTTGGTGTATTTATAATACTGAATAAAAAATATACAAAAGTATTGATACGCTGGAGATTATTTACACTTACACGAAAATTTTCTTATCGAGTATTTCATGTAAATTACCCCACGGTTAATTACCACGTATATAGTATTTGCATTTGGTAGACGGAGTTACAGAGCAAGAATACATGGTCAATTGGTTTATCATTTCACAAATTCTATCAAGAATTGTTTTGTCTTTTGACTTTTCACGACTTTGTTACTTTAATCAAGAATTGCATTTTTGTGTCTCTTTTTCAAATGTATAAATCGATCTCCGAATAACATTGGCTCAAGAATCAACATTTGATTGTATGCATGTTGTTTAACATCCCATTCGAGAATATATCACTCATATAGAAACGTCACCATATTCCGGTGAAGGGCTTCAAATTTTAACCTTTACTTGGCACTCAGGGCCTTTGAGCAGTGAGGGATCCTTATCGTGCCAACGCCTGCCGTGACACGGGACCTCGGTTTTTAAGGTCTCATCCGAAGGACCCGCAAACTTTCACTTCAAAGTGCCGAGCGCATGGCGAAGGAACAGTTGCTACCCATTTTTTTTATCGACTTGGGTAAGTCGCGGCTGAGATTCGAACTCACGACCTCCCGATCATGGAGCGAGCGTTCTACCGACTGAGCTACCGAGAACGGTATCAACATTTGAAGAAAATGTTGAAGGAAAATAAAAAAGAATATTTTTAACATTTGTTTCATGTTGCCAGTACAAAAAAAAAAAACAAAGGTCTTGTTTTTATTCAGCTCCCATTGATTCACATGGACCCAAAACTGGTGAAGAGATCCCTTGAGTTGAGTCTGAAGAACTTCCAGTTATCATATTTAGATCTGTACCTCGTTCACTTTCCTATACCTCTAGAAGTAAGGAATCTGTTTTTATCTTGTAAATGGAACATACATTATTGGTTTACTTGTTATTTATAATTTATAACTTACATAGAAAAAAAGAAGCACGATATGAAAACCACAAGAAAGAAGGGGTCTATATACGTGAATAAAATTTCGATTTTACAATCAATTTTGAAAAAAAGTGATCTAAAGCGGTTGTATGTTTTGATTAATTAAACAAAAATCAAATTTAATTTTGATTGTCAAAAGAAGACAAACCAATAGTATTGGATGACAGAAAATTTTTTTTACGGATAAATCAGGAATAGGTCAGACTCGGTATATGTTTGGAGTGTCCAAACGATCTTGTTATACCATGGTAAATAAATCATAACTCTTGATAAAAGTTATATACTTACAATGACTATTAAATGTTCGTTAATTTACAGTACGATGGTGACGACACTAATGTCGTACCCCAAAACGAGTCCGGAAACTGGAAGGGAGCAGACAAGTGGGATCTGTTGGGAACATGGAAGGTGCAGTGAAAAGAGTTATAGCGCCAGGGTCGGCCTTAATTGTAACGATATATCTATAATTTGTTTATAAAAGTCCAAAATAAGTTTTTTTTAATACTGGGTCAAAGATATGATTTCTTTATTGTCATGAACCTCTATTTCCTGCATTAGTCTAAAAGTTTATTTAATTAATGCATTTCTGATGACAACGGACATGGAAGTTTATATAATTATAATAGTATTTAATATAATGTACTGCATCAAGATACATGTGAATCATGGCTTGTCTTACATTAAATGTTCTGTTGAAATAAGTCTTTGTAGTGTTTGGTTTATAGGCAATGGAGGACCTTGTAGACTTGGGACTGACCAAATCTATTGGAGTTTCTAACTTTAGTATCTCACAAGTTGAAAGAATCTGCAAGGTGGCGAAACACAAACCCGTTACAAACCAAGTGAGAAAGACTTTATTTTTCAGCTGTTTCTATAAAAACACCTTTAATGATGGTTAACTATGCAAAAAAAGTTATAACAATGAATTGGCCTGCAATAAAAAGCAATACATTTATTACAGCAAAATATCACATCTGTGTATTTCAATTTTGAATTTTTTTGTTTGTTTTTCTCTTTTCAGGTGGAGTGTCACATATATCTCCCACAAACAGAGTTGGTCGAGGCTTGTAAGAAGCTCGGAATAACAATTACAGCGTATTCTCCATTCGGTTCACCAGGAAGGCCTGCGTTCATGTTAGTGTCCCACATAAATACACAATGCATTCTTTAGAATTGTTTTCTGAATAATTGATCAAGGACGTTTAAAGTATTCTTTTGGGAATAACCTATTCAACTCAATGCAAATTCAAAGTAGCAATAAAGCCAGAAAATATCATGCCATTTAACTGGCGGATATATAGGAATACCCAGAGCTTGCCATGCCCCTCCACATTTTATGCTAAAACATTTAATACTCTCTCTCTCTCTCTCTGTAAATAAATGCTTTGATGAAAAATTCTGTGATACACTTTTTGACACCATTTCACATAGGAGCTTTTAAACAGGACTTAACAGGTTTTATTGTTTCATTTAAAAAGGACTTCTTCTCCCTTAGGATAGGACAAAGCCTTGCAAAGTTTTGAAATAGTACAAATAAATAGCCCCCTCTCCATTCTCCAAAGTTAATAGAACATACAATAGACTTGTTGACACCATTTTATATAGGGGCTTTTAAATAGGATTTCACAGGTTCTATTGTCTCATTTAAAAGAAACCTCTTCTCGCTTAGGATAGGACAAAGCCTTGCAAAGTTTTGAAATAGTACAAAGAGAAACAATGCCAGTAATATTTTAAGTTATAACGTTTCATCATCGGCAATTTGCTCATAATGTTAATATTATTTAAAGCGTACATTCTATTGCATTTAAAATGAATGCATATTTTATGTTCAGGGACGACTGTAAATATTAAGGATGGATCCTTCTCAAATTTATTGTATTTAAAAAATTCCTGAAATTTTCACACAATCAAGAAGACAATATTACTAAGTGATGGTATCATTTCGGTTAGAATTGACTGTTTCATTTTAGTAGCAAGGTCAAGTAAAGATCATCATGTTTTCTGTTTTCTTAAATTAAGGATTAAAAATTACTGCTGCCTATCTTGCTATGCCCACTTCTATTTAAAAGTATTATTTGTTCATCTTTTTGCATAAAAAGACAATACTACATAAGATGTATTAGATAACACTATCAAACTGAGATAGATATTTTAACTAAAAATAGATATTTGCATTGTTAACGAGAATTTCTTCAATTTTCTATAATTTTTATTCAATTTTTTATTTTTTTTTAAATTTGGAGAAGACTTGAGATACTGACACAAAACGAAAAAAATATTATTAACCTTAAATAAAAAAAATGAATTAGTGAATTTTTCAGTCAAAATTGTTTATAGAGCTTACAAAGGTAACAAGACTGTAGTTTGTTAGGAATATATTTCTGATTTAATATATTCTTAAACTTAAGTTCCTAAACACAAATTTCATTCACTTTAGAAAATCCTTAAAGATTTTGACTATTTAAAACTGTGAACTAAGCTCATTAATCTAATTAAAAAAGCAAAAATTGTGATATTTTCCTACGCTACTGTTCCACAGAAAATATAGTCCCTGCTAGATTTTAAACTTAATATTCCATTTCTTTGTCAAGTTGTAGAGTTGTAAGAATGAAAAAAAATATGATTTTATAAATTCCTGACATCTCAATATGTCAGAAGGAAATTTATGCAAATATACTTTAATATTTTAATTAGTCAGAAACCTAACAAAAATCCCACCTTAAAGGAATATCTTATTAGTTGTTGAATTTTTTAGTACAAAGTTATTAAAACATCTTTTTAAATATCAGTACATATTGTATTGATTTTGAAAGCTGTTAAAGAGAAAATAATGTCCTTAGAAAGAAAAAAAATCTATTTAGAAAATTTGATGCATAATTTAGACCTTTATGGAAACCTAGAAAACAACATTTATACACATGCAGATTTATCGAACCCATGTTCAACATAACGAATTAAGTTTTCAATACAAAAGAAGAACCAAAACATGCGTAATTGCCTCATTTGTAGTAAACAAGCAGACGATCCTGTTGTAATGGAAGATCCTGTCATCCTGAAATTAGCCGAAAAATGTGGGAAAACTCCAGCACAGGTAAGCTACCCAAAACAAGCGGAGAAAAAAAATTATACAGAAAACAACAATTTATCCAAAGATTGGAAAGCTATAGGTGTAATAAAATTTAAAACAAAGTACACTTAGAATATTTGTCGTATAATTTGACATTTTTTTGATTTATTTTCAAAGGAATTAGACGTTTTTTCAGTGTATATTGAACAATAAATAGTAAAGTATTCGCAAAAGTTGGCTTTGATGCTAAGGCACTTTTTCGTTTACTTACACTGTAAAAAATGTGCTAAGGAAATAAACACTATCTTTACGTATTTAAGACCTAAACGTGTTTGATTTTGTGTTTAACAACTAAATACTCTCATTTCGTGTTTAGATCTAAACATGTTTGATTTTGTGTATAACAACTAAACAACTTCTCTCTCTCTCTCTCTCGGACGGTAGTGAACTCCTGTCTGAATCGGCGCTTATGTTGCGTTCTTCATTTTACTAATTTACAGAACTCTTTATAAGCTTCCTAGTCCTCATCCTCTACCTCACCGACAATTTTTCTGTCTCTTTTAATCTATATTTTATATTTTCACAGTGAACGTACAAATCCATGATTACTGTGTACAATTTACTTATATTGATTAGTGTTTATAACGTAGGTCCCAGTAATATTCAAAAGTATCCCAAAAATAAAATTTGACATCTACTGTATGCCATGTGGAGAGTGATATTGGAATCATTGATCAATAAAACTGCCCCCCCCCCCCTCCGAAAAAGTAGAATTCTTTTACCCGTATCAAATAGAGATAATTATTTTCTTAAATGCATAGTTTGAATAAAGGACTGTTTTAACGTCGAGATTCAATATTTAACTGTTCTAAATATATGTATAACATATAGTTAAGACATACGTAAGTCACCTCTACCCGCCTCCCAAGTTTTGCTAGGATTGTCAAATCTTAGTATGCTTCTAGTTACGGTCTTATGTCTAGAATTGTACTTCTTAAGCATGGTCTGGAACTTAAATTCTTTTTATGTTACGACCCCCTGCTTGTAACGTAAAAATTGTAATCTTAAGAAGATACTTTAATGAAGTCATTTATATTCCTACAATATCTTAAAAAGCTCACCATTTTTAAAAACGTTGTCAAAAAAAAAAAAAAAAAAAAAAAAAAAAAAAAAAAAAAAAAAAAAAACCACACACAGAAAAAAAAAACCCAGATGGTATTCTACTTGATTAACTTAAAAAAATATTGTATATGTTTCCTACAGGTTATTCTTCGAAATCTCATCCAAAGAGGTATGATTGTTATTCCAAAGAGTACGAATCCAGAGAGAATTCGTAGCAATTTACAGGTAAACAATATACATTTATTTGAAATATGCAAACATTTCTAGGTTCAGAAAGTTTCTTCAAGATTCAAGACAAATTCTGTTTTTTTTTTTCAAAGCATTATTGGGAGGTGATTTTTTTCAATGAGAAAACAATCAAATGATTTCTAAATGAGACAGACGAAAGACATTCATATATCGGAATTATTACGTCATCATATCTTAGAACTGTGATTTGTTTTTTGATAAAAATAAACAAAAAGGCTTGATGAAATGCCTCAATTCTCATATTTCCTTTCAATAGCATGATACAAAAACCTTCATTTTATGACAATTGTTTTAAGGGGCATTTTAAGTAAGGATTATGTGTACATAACAAGTACTTTCTATAAAAACGGACAACTTTTTTTTCTTCGCAGGTTTTTGATTTTTCTCTATCCAAAGAAGACATGGAAGAAATTGACAAGATAAAAACTAGACACCGCTACTTTGATTTTATGGGTGCTATGTAAGTGATAACTGCATATTTCTTGTTCCTTGTCTTTTTCCAAACAATTGTCTGTTTTTTTGTCAAAAGTTTAGTCTCTTACAAGTCAGTTAAGAACCCTTTATACCCTGTATACTTATTGTATTTCAATTTTAAAGAAATAATGATTCAATCAGCTATACTGATAAAACTTCAGAAACGAATTTAATTTTTGAGAAATAATAGTAAAATATTTTTTTAAAACTCATTTTAAATTTGTTGAAACACACATTCATAAAAATGAAAAAATTGCGACAACTTGATCTTTCAATTATATTTGCTTTTATTGATTTATTGGTGTTGGCTGAAATAAAAGATAAAAAAGTTTTATGTTAAAAATTAAAAACAGTTAATTAGCACACTTATTATTATTTTCCATATAAGCAATGAAGGGACCTACGAGGACTGTTCGAAAATTATTGAGACAAATACTTTTACTCCACAAAGGACAGATAAATTCATGAAAATTCGTCAACATTTTATAAAGAACAAATAAAACAATTGAGCAACATTTCTAATTTCTGGTGAAATTATAAACAAGCATATGTCTATTGACCTGGAGAAGCATCGCTACGTCATTTTAACGTCACATTGTGAAATGAGCGGGAAGCGTTCAATCTACTTTCTCAGTCATTACATATAGAATTCCAAAATTCAAACTTGTCTCTTATACAAGTAATTCTCAAATGATTTTTTAAAAAAAAAAAATTAAAATAAAACGTGTGCTGTAGCTACCCCAGTGTAAAACATATACAGATTGACTATCATGCAGTACGGAGTTATGCAACGCGAGTCAACGTTATTTAGTCCGTAATAATTGTTGGTTGTCCGGAGCTTTTGTTTTTACTCTGGTTGAATTATTTGTAAAAAAAAAAATACCAATGAAAAATAAATCCCTAGACACGTTTTATTGCATTGTTAGTGTTTTAACAGGTCGTTTAGTCTGACAAGAGTTCTCAATATCGCTACACAAAATCTTAGGTATGCTTGCTGCTCCGCCTTGACGTCAAAATCCGTTTTGTCGTTGTTATCAGATTGCTATACCGCGCTTAATTTTTTAAATGATCTCCGTATTTCTGATCGAAATTCTAACAAACTTGCACAAATTTATGTCAAAATTAAATTGAAAAATTATATACATAATTTGAACTATTTTCCTTTTTACTATGGGTCCACTGGGAGTTTTAACGTTGGTGTTACATATTTTCAATATCTGATTTCGTGACTGCGCTGGGTACCCCTACCATTGACAAATAAATATACCATTGGAAAGAAGAAATAAAATATTTTTAAAATATTTTTTGCTTTTATTAATTTTTAGTGTTGTTCAAACGTATATGCAAATTTTCACCTAAAAACGTTCAGTAGAAAGAAGAATATACACATTGTCTCAATTATTTCCGAACAGCCCTCGTATATATCAATGTTAATATCTACTACAATATGAAACAGACCATCTTTATGTTATAGCAAACCACTTTTGAGTACATGTGTATCTTTTTAAATTGAATCGGATATGTTTCCACTAAAATACATTTTTACTATTTCTTTAAAATTTTTTAATCATATTTTTGTTTTGTTAATCTTGTGTGTTTTAATTACAATTTTTCATCATATTTAATTTTTTCTCAGGTTCAAGGATCACCCAGAATGTCCATGGTGAAGCTGAAAAAAAAAATCAAAGAAGTGTAGAATGTTAGATATTTCTCTGTCTAATATTCTTCCATGTTCTTTTTAAGAAGCATTATAACATTTGAATGTACTAATAAAGAGAATTTATGTAATATTTTCGTCAGCTAAATATGTTAAGAAAGTAGAATAAGGTTTAAGTAAACAAATAGAAAATTCGTGCATTAAAAGACCACTGCATGTCTTGTTTATCGCTAAATGGCGTCTAGTTAATTTTTTCAATGCATAAAATCTCACTTGAGTTAAACATCAAATAAAGGATGGTAAAATACAGAAACCACGACGAGGACACAATTTTGTTCTACGAAAAATCATAAAAAAGATACCACTTTGAATACATAAGTATGTTACTTATATTGCTTTGTACATTTATACAAGATCCATTTCTCTTCAGAACTAAAAATACCTCTGTACATCCATATTTATCACTTATATTACATTAATCATTAATAAGATATTATCTTTCTTGTGTTGTATGTAAATTTACGAAGTAAGGCGATATAAAAATATGTACAATAAAACGAGATAAAAAGTGAAGTGTTGAAAGAGATTGAAATCAATGAAAATGGTATGATTTTTTTTCAGAAGTTGAGAATCCAGCCATTTACCTGACTATGATAGATTGTAAAGTAAATCTTAGACCAGCTGGATAAATTCAATTTATCAACTGAAATTAAACTGTATGGGATTTAAACAACACATCTTTTAATCGTAGTACACAATTGCATCGATATCATTATTTTTTAAAGTCATACTTTCACGGAAACATTCTCGGATTGTACATTAGACTGTTTCAGACGTAATTTGATTATGTGTAAAATATCTTTAGTCTATTTTTTTTCTTTATAATACTATTCACTTCATTTTTTCCTTTATAATACTATTCACATTCGAGTTAAAAGTATTGGCATTCCTATGCAAATGAGGGGATTAAAACGAAAATCACCATGATACTTACCATGTAAGTAATCTTATTAGTTAAATCATATTTCATACTAATTATTAGCAGTACATGTCGAGTTTATTGTATCAAAAAGCAACAAACATCGTAAAATGTTCTTATAAATTCTATGTTTTTTGTTTTGTTTTGTTTTTGTTTTTTTTAAAAGTTCAATTATTTCTTATAAATATAGCAAAAATATAACCCTGCAAAAATACACAAGCTAAGAAATATGTGTTCCTATCATACCTGTATAGCCGAGGACTCTTGGAGGACCAGTGATGATGAAAGTTTAAACATGTGATAACAAAGAAAGTAAATTTAAGTTCATTTCATAAGCATTATGAAAAAAAAATCATTTTCATGTACTTTTAAAGTATTTTTTAAAACTTACAGATATGTTACATTTGTTTTGTTTTTCTTTTATAACAATGGGGTTCTTTTTTCATATTGAAAAAAAAATATTTCTTTATCTAGTCCAAAAAATATATCATCTTTGATAATTATATTTTACACTGTTTAAGAGAAAACATCTTGTTTGGATTCAGTTGTGCCTGAATCCATAAAGACATTTGTCAGAAGTACCCAGCTTTTTTTTCCTATACAAACGATAGCACTGCATTTCAAGGACACGGGCACATCAAATTTCAATGACTTAATTTAAAAAAGAAACCGTGTATTATTCAGTTATCTAAAGGAAAAGATACTACTAGTTTTTAAAACAATGTTTAGATGACTGTGATTTTTTTGGACGATACTGAGTAGTGTAGTTTTAAATTGATATAAGCAGTCCCGTAAAAAAATCGTGAAAGGGGCACGGGGTGGGGGTGGGGGGAGGGGCATGCCCCTTTAATTTTGCCGATATATTTAGTATACCATAGAAAACAAAGCTAGGTACTTTATGAATGTGACCCCTCAAGAAATACGTCTATTTCGACATTTTTTTCTTTTTGAATGTCAACGAATTATTGTTTGGTAATGCCCCCTCAAACTAAAAACATTTGGTTGTGCCCTCCCTGAAATTGTTTCCTACGGGCATTATTTATATAAAACTTCAATCGTGCAATATGATTTGGGCAATCTTTATAACAAAGTAGGGGGTAATCTTTGATGACTAATTAATTACAAAATGTAAAATAAACCATTTTGACTCCTTCTACCTGCATGATCAATACATAGGGTTCATGGCGGGTGTGACGGTTGACAGGGAATGCTTTCTTCTCCCCGACACCTGATCCATCTCCGTATTCCTTACTGGATTTATAAAACTTGATTGTCTTCACCTTTTATATTTATCAAATTGATAACAATACTTTATACCCCTCATTACAGTCTTACTGTGATTCATATTAATTCATATTTGAATCAATGATTCTGATTTTAAGTTTTTAGGGGGATAAATGTGCAGACTTTCACTCTATTTACTCTATCAGGGGATGCTCACTCATCCGTGGCACCTGCTTCCACCTCTGATGTTTGGAGGTCCGTATTTGCTCTGCTCCTATTTTGTATTGTTTGATGGACTTTTGAGCCTGAATACTGTTCGTTATCTTCATATATTTCATTACTCAAGAAGTTCTTGGATTTATCATGTATGTCATCTTTTTATATCCCACATATAACTAACCTTATCTGAAACATATTTGCAATAGAACAATGAATATTTGGAGTAAAATGATTTATCGATTAACGAACAATTAAAAATTTTCATAATCATCGCTGCTTAACATAATTTATAACTTTCTTCTTTAACTTGAGGAAAAAAAAAAAGAAACATGAGCTTTAAAGCGAATATTTTAAGTGGAAAAGTAACTATCTATCAAATTAATATTATCTCTCCAAATTGAAAGCCGAACACTGTTCCTTAAATAAACCGACATATCATAAAAATCTGAGTAAAGGTTTGTATTTAATTTAAAAGAGTACCAGTCTCTGTAATATTACGTTGTACATTATACCCGATCCAAACACCAAGAATAAGCTCATACTCATATTATAAAACTTTTTCCTTTAAAATGTGTAAGGTTTCAGTTTTTTTTTTATTTCGCCTGCATGAAAATTTTCAAGATATATCAGAATCAAATTTTGTTTCTCAATACACATGTAGGGCAAATAAAAAAGAAGTCCCACTTAACAGATGTTATTAATTTTTTTTAGGCACAACGTATTTCTCCTTGAGCGTAAACTTTTGAGTTGGTTGAATCTTGATGTAAACTTATATTAAAATCGCATTATAATTTTAATCATTTCACCCCCAAATTCAAGTCCTTGTATTAAAGGTTAATGAATGCAGGTCTATATTTAAAAGCATCCTATCAATTAATCTTTAACTTGTTTATGATTGTTATTCTATTGTAAAACATACATTCTATTTTCCTTTGGATTGTCCATATTACATACAAAACAGTTATATCTGAACTTTTATGCAAGATATATTTTGCATACAGATATGCAAAATATACAAACTTGCATTCCTTAATCGTAATCGTCAGAAGCCCCATGCAAGTCATAGATTGTGCAAATCATGCATGTTTTGACCACTCGATCGCCGTGAATGTGAAATCTGTCAAATAGTTTCGAAGTGTTTGAGAATACTAGACGTATATGATAACCGGACCAATGACCAAGACAAAGTTTAACTATTACTGCCTTCCGTGGGATATTTGTTTTTTGTAAATACATCTTAAAAATACCGAAAAAAAGACGTGACCTACATCCCTTCTGACTCCGAAGCGGTGAAAATATACTCCCCCATACGCTGAAAACGCTTCCCCCGTACTTTTTAGCGACTCCCCCTCGTTACCGGTTGTATACGGCGTATTGGGGGAAATGATAGATAATTATTTCTAATAATTTCGAATTCGTTATTTATTTGAGGGTTGGGGAACCATATTTCTCTTTGATTGTCAGATTCTACCACTGATTCGCAGTCTCAGACTATCCTTGGATGTTTTTTTTCTTTGCATGCAAATGCATGAACTATAAGCTAGTAGCAAATAAATAGCTGACCACTTCTAGATTTATTTACATCTTTAATGAAGCTACAAAGCAGACGACATATATGTTCCTTGGAACCCTCTAATTTTTATTTCATGTCATTTGTGTCGTCATCTGCAAAGGTTTTGTAAATTGATAACCTATGGTTTTAGGCAAGTTGAGTGTAATGTATATTGTAAATGAAAGGCTTTTCCGAACATAATGTTTTACTGTTAATTTAGTATGAAAATGTGCATTAAAATACCCGTTGGCACCCCCATTATTTTCTAGTATAGTCAAACCCTCCCATATATATGTCTTAAAAATTCTCGTCAAAAAATTTGGAACTTGATCTCCACTTTACCTCCACCCATCCCTCCAAGTTTGGACAATTTTCCTTTTCTTGTTTATTTGCTTGTCAAAGACTTTTCAGGTAAATTGTCAATTATTTTTCCGCCCCTAACAGAAATGATACTACATGCCTGTAATGCATATTGTTATAAATAGAACAAAAATCTTATTATTTAGAAACGGACTGATTACATTGACACAACACTTCTTTTTTGGGGGTTAATTTATGTGGACTATTTGTTCTTAGACCGAAGAACAAACACCTTTTTTCCGTTGTAGAATTGTTCAAAATCATTACATTACATTAGTTTAAGTTTTCTTTTTTTCTTTTCCTATAGAAGATTTATTTTTAAAATATTTATGCGAAAGTAAATTAAGAAAACTGCTTGATAATATGTCGTACATTTATACATTTTCAGGTATATATATGCTTTTTCAAAAGGGCTCTTCTTAACCGTTGGGACATTTCATCTGCTACTTATTTAGATCTAAAAACTAACTTACTTGATTTGAATTTTTTTTTTCAAATTTCTAAGAAATTATTCAGCATCCTTATTTCTAACGTTGTAAGATCTCTGATGAACTTTACTTTATTCCTTTCCCATTAATTCTCTTACACACTCAACTTAATTCATTTCCCAGTGAAGTTCTTAGACTTGTTATTTATTTATTATATATTTCTTAAATAAATGTGGGGTAAAAGTTTTTGTTACATCCACATGTAGATTAAAGACATATCAATAATAATTATCTTGTACATCACAATTCAGCATCCTATATATTTATGCATTTTTTTCAGTTAAAGGCTGAAAAGTGGTAATGATGACAAAACGTAGCAAGTCACCTCATGAAGATCAGTTTGGTATATATATATATATAAAGATAATATGCTGTCGGTGGGACGTCAAGTAACATTATACATTCATTGACTGGGTTCGAGGGCAACATGCGTTTTGTCGGACCCAAAAACCAAGCTGTTTCAGTTTGCCTGAGTCAATAAATGTTTTGTTATACCTTTCATTTTTTTTTACATACATGTATTTTTGTGCTGGCTTCCATGACGTAAATTTTCGTTACCCGCAATGTGGTCATTTCTGTCACTGTCGAAATCAAACGAATGCAAATATGATTTAGCTGATCCCCTCACAGTATGACGTAAGTGGTCCAATATCTCATCTACAGGTCTAC